ATAAGTTAGGTGTTTTTGACATGTGGAATTGTGGTTCATTTGCATTCTTCACCTGCACGAATATATTACTGAATCATTCCCGCCGGCAAAGTCAAAATTATACGGGTCTAAATTTTCAATTAAAACACGCACTTTTATCTATTGATGGATCGATGACAGTTGTCTCTGCAGGGGTGTACGCCGATGAACAGATAGTATATTTGTACTAGTTTTCAATGGACATAACATTTATTTCCAAATAGCAACCACTTATAAAAGTGGATCCTGATTAGTTTTGAGTTATTTAAAACTTTTTTTAATCACCCATTTTCATCTTCACGTTAACAAAACTTGATGAAGTTATTTTTGTGTTGTGAATTACTTGTATTTTTTATTTTTTCAATGAAACAGCATTCTGCATCTGGTGCAAAGAGCTTTTAGTCTCATTGGTCCGTCCGAGTGGAAAAAAATAGATCTTTCGCGGCTCGTGTCAGCAAAAAGCGGTCAAATGTGATGTTTATTACATTCACGTCCTACAAAATAGTTTGAAAAACGTCTGAAATCTGCCGCTCTTGTGATTTTATTAAGTCACGGACCATTATAAGGGTGTAGACATAAACTAACAGCAACTTCTGATTCAGGAAGTTGATGAGTGGTGCGATGCGTGGGATTCAAACCAGCAAAATGTCCACAGCCCTGTCTTTACGTTGTGCGCTGAGTAAGTACAGGCTTTACTAATAGAAATAGGGAAGATAAAGAATTAAGAAATTAATGATGGGATATCAATATGTCGGTATCGGGGCATCCTGTTACCCTCGGCCGCTTCAAACCAGAGAGACGCAAGTCAAGTGGCAACTATTCATTTCTCTTATAACAAAACAATTGGACTTGACAACGTCTGCTCTTGAGTTTTATCATATAAAACAACTGGCTAAATGCTGAGTTTGAAACTTTTTACATAGTTTTTGCACCGTTCACTATATCTTCTGGTCATTCCATGGAAATGTTAAGTAAATAGTGACTGGTTAGATATAAATATTTCGGTATTGGAACATCCTGTAACCCCAAGCGAAATCCAACCGAAACTCTGGTAACACGTGTTCTTAAGTTTTATAATACTTGAAAGTAATAAAGGTAATGAAAATAAAAATATAGATTAAAAAAGGAAGAGAGATGTTTTAACTTGTTTACAAGTGTAGTTTTTAGTTTTGTTCAGACGCAAAATGATTTGGATACAATTGACCACGATAAAACAGTTTTCCGGTTTTAAAATTGAACTGGTAGTTATAATTCACGATTGTTGTGCTTAATTGATGTTTAATAAAAAACCTGTTAGAAATATTACGAAGTGTTGCAGGAACATAATAGCATAGTTGCCTACCTTCAATTCTGAAGTTGGTGTGACAAGATGTCACCCGAGAAATACACAAAAACCATGTACGATCTCTTTCTCGAAAAAACGAATGAAATTCGTCGACTAAAACTTATCCTGACATTTTCCTTGAGCAATCTTGCATGTATAGAAATGGGAGTTGCATTTGAGCTTATTTTATGAACACGCTACATAGAAAACGATAACTGTGGTAAACAGAAGGCAAGTTTGGACAAAGTTTTTTAAAATGAATGCCGTCAGCGACAGTTCAGCTTTTGACGGGTCTACCTTTTATGTCCCTTTTAATTAACTACCTGCTTGCTCGACATTTTTATCGGCTTCAGTTGTAGGATATTATTTTCTAAACGGACGCAAAAACCCCGCAGACAGTTAATTAATAAATTCCACTCCAGTTAGAAAAAGAGAAAATGAAACATAGTACCGTCTTCATGCTTTTCATCGATCTCATGATAAATTTGGCATTAAACATCGGTGTCAAAAGTTTTTTTTTCAAAGAATTCGGTACGCATAGTTTCAATTTTATAAATCTAGATAAAGATTCATTCAGATTCATTCAGTTACACAGTTCCTCGTCGTTTAATTCATTGTTGCAAAATATACCTTTTTATAACTCCACTACTGCGCCACTTGCCGTATTTGAGCAATGAACATGTACAATTTCCCACAGTATTCCGTTATACAACAGCGCAAAAATACGGACGGAAAGCGGAACAACAAAAAGGTTGCACCCAACAAACCGGAATTAACGCTGTTGTTGGTTTTTTTTTTCTTTTTTTCAAGTAGCAAGTCTCTGAGCACACCAGACTTTTTTCTGATGGTCATAAAGAACACTTTAATGGTTTCTCAACGGCACTCTCTTGACTTGGAATAATACCGTGCGACTTGAGTAGGGTGCATTTATTTAAGGTTATCTATTCCGAGAAGTGACAATTTTGAACTTTTTGAATTTAAATTAAATGTCTAATCCATATGTTTGACCTCCCGATAAAGAGAATGACGGAATTATCTTCAGCTGTCAGTGGCAGTTAGGTAAATTCATGGAAAACAAGGCTATGAGACGCTAGTATTTGCTTTGCTCCGAGCATGTGAAGTCTTTGCCCAATGCAATCAGCAATCATTTTTTGTCATGCCTTGAATAAGCAGAAAAACATTATGAACAACTGGGAAATTTCACCTGGTACTTTTCGGTATTCGCTATTCACCTCCTTTGCCCTTTACATAATACTTTCCAAGTTACGTCTGCGAGTAACGCCAACCAAACGAATCCCTTTGACATGTTTTCGAGATGCAACAAGTTTTGTTCAGCCGGTTGCGGAGACACTGCATTTTTTTTCTTTCAATTTCTTTAACAATTAAAATGCTTTAGTACTAGTATATCTTGAAATCTAAAAAACTCTTTGGTCGTTTCAAAAGTTATTTTCGACATAACAATAAAATACTTTGCCCATTTTCTCTTCTACAGTCATCCTTCATTTGATGATGGAAATGCCAGGAACAGGTGAGGCAGTGTAATTACAATTTAATATTTAAGTATCTTAAAATGAACTGAAGAAAAAGGATCTGACTGAATTATCAAAATAATTAGTCAGACTTCCTGTTGGAATGACATCGTTTTGCGATTAAAAACTTTAGTTGGAAAGCAAAACAAAAAAGTCAGAGACTAACGGTGCTATTACCCTGATTCCCCAATTTCCACTTTTAAAACCTTGCCTAATTCTAATTTTTCCTTCGGTGAGGTAGAGGGTTTTGATGCCCATTGTTTTTTTTTATCATTAATGGTATATTTTTTTTCTCTTCTCCATCTTTATCGTTATTACTATTGTTATCATCAGTATACATTTTTTCGTTTATTTATTTATTCCTTTGTCTCCATCATCAGAATTATCACTATTGTTATAATCAGTATACATTTTTTTTCGTTTATTTATTCCTTTAATTTTTTCCCATAGAGTGCCAAGCAACCTGTTTCAAAAACTCATCCTACATATTTTCGAAAAGCGGAAGAGATTGGTATGAGAACTGGCACGTCTGTCACTGCCAGGAAGGTAACTTAGTCTCCATCGAAACTGAAAAAGAATGGCAGTTTATCAGTCATGAGATTCAAAAGCGTGGTAATTCGAATACTAGTGCGTGGCACATTGGTTTATGGAAGATATCCGGAGATTGGACATGGTTGAGTGGAGAAAAACTAAGTATTTCGAAATGGCGAGATTCTCAGCCAGATGGTAACGACAATTGCGCGGAAATATCTAAGAATGGAGGCCTCTTTAATGGTATCTCTTGGGGTGATAAAAACGCCTTCATTTGCGAGATGCCCGGAGGTAAGATCACATTCCAACCATGAAGTATATTATGTGCTGAAACATTAGCAGTCTTGCACTTGTGTCAGGAAAATTTCTCTTGCTTCTTAAAAGTAAAAATGTTGTTCACATAATATGCTCGGCTCACCTAACTTGTACGTGTGAGCGACGAATGAACTTTGAAGCGTGTATCAGTAGTTGAACATAATGGCCATGACAAAAACGGGAACATATGTTTCGAGAAAAAAGGTTAACCCTGGGATTTTCCCTTTTTTGCATCGCCTGCAGCTGGAAAAACAGCGATGGAAACTGTACATTTCACAACTTTTGTCGAGCGCGCTGAGATTGGGATAATCTAACCAACGGAATTTTCCCTTGCCACAAGTTACAATGCGTGATCACTGACGTCAGTGAGTGAATCCGTGTTCTTTTAAGCATCGAAGTACGTATGCCTAAGGTCTTGAGTGCCGGTACTGAAGACAGAGTGCACAGTTTTTCCCGACCTTAGCTTATGAGTAACAGTTCTTTTTCTTTAAACTCAACGAAATATTTTCCAAAAGAACCCTAATGATTTAGGGCTGTAATTACGGCAAGATCCTCCATGAACTGGACAATTTTTGAACGAGTAAATGGTAGTTGAAACAGACTGAGGTAATGCAAATTAAATAGAGGCTTTACCGAAATATTTTTATTTGTGTAATGGAAAAGGTGATTTAAAGGCTTCCAAACAAACTTTGAAACTTTTTTTTTAACAAGTATCTGTCACAACCTGACACCTGTAAAGTAGAGAGCGTGTAAGAAACAAAAGCGCATGCACGTTTTAAAAAAGAAAACAACAACAACATCAACGGCACTGGTTTGGCAAACAAATTTAAGTTCAATGTCTGTCACGGGAATTTTTTCTTTAAAAACAGTCAATGATCTTACAGAAAGTATTACTCACTTCCATCAACTATTGATGAACGAAGTATAGCTCTGTTTAGTCGGTAAATGGAAAGTAATTGTAAGTAAATTTAAATCTGTTTCGAGATTTTGGGAGTTTGCTCGTTTACTTGGTGCAATCGCGCGTGTAAATCTGGTCTTTTGTCAAAAGTGGAATTTTAATGCCGCTTTTTCTCTTTGAATTCCTTCATTTTCTATTGTGAAGTTTACGGTACAAATGTCCATATTGAGCGGACTTGCAAAGACTTACCGAAAGCGTATTTAAAGTATAGAACTGAAGATATCGCTCACTGTTTTTTAATGAAAAAATTGTTTGAACGAATTCAGATATAAAATGAATGAAAACTCCATCAATTAATTCAATTTTAAACAAATACGTTACGTTCTAACTTCCTGAGTTACTTCTAGTGAAGGTCTAGGTTAATTACAAATGGTTTTTTATGCCGCGTGTCAACCCATTTAATGGCATATTTGGTACCAAAAATCATTTCAAAACCATTATTTTTGCCGGCAGCCACAGTGACTTGAGAAAGAGAAGGAGAGGATTAATAAGTAATTAATCAGCTTGATTTGCTTTAAAGTGATTTACGTAAAAATACTTCTCAGCTGGCAAAGCGAAATATATTTATGAAAAAAGGCAACGAAGCTAAGGTTGTAGCTAGCGACTCGAGCAAGCGTTGCCGTGCCGCTGTTGCACATTTATAAGAACTTACATTCACATTAAATTTTACGTTTTTTAAGTCTGTTCAGATGGGGGAGGAAGAATAGGGGGCGGGGTGAGGGTGGTGTCAGCTCAACAAGGAAATAATTAATTTTCAAATCTCGACTACCAAAATTACATGAACTCACAGATAATCTTAGCTGATGTGAAGTTAACTAATTCAGAAAAGCTGGTTAGAGATGGCGGACGCCGTAAGGAAGAAATATCTATAGTATTAATTGACAATGATCAAACATAAACTGGAGGTGTTAAAAAAAAAAAAAAAAAACAGGAATCATATAAAAAAAATCATAAAACTGTAAAAAAAAAGGAATTATATGAAAAATAAGTCCCGTTTTCTTTCTCATTTATTTTCTCCTTTATTGTGATTGTGATTTTAATCTTTTTATGTCATCATCATTATTATTATTTATCACTTTGATTATCATTATGATAATTAGTATTTTTTGCTTTTATTTTTATCATTTTGTAGAATGCCTAAATATAACTTTTAAAAACTCTTGGTACATAATTTCGGTGCGCGTGCGCAAAATAGACCGGCCCATTAACTGGCTCTGGGCCAGAGAAGCCTGCCAAAACCAAGGAGGGGACCTAGTTTCCATTGAAACCGAAGAAGAATGGAATTTCATCAATGACCAGATTCAAAGGCGAAATACTACGTACTATGAAAATAAGTGGAATATTGGTTTAACAAAAAAGGCCGGGAATTGGACTTGGGTGAATGGAAGACCGCTGACTATTTGCAAATGGGAACAAGGGGAGCCAAGAGGTGAACACGACGCGGCTTTCATGTACAAGCGGTCCAGTAATGGGGAGCAGGGCGTGTTTGGTGGTGTTAATGGCACAAGTATGGGATTGCGCTACCCTTATATTTGTGAGATTTCCGAGGGTAAGTTGTTATTTTTGTTGTTGTTTTGTTTTGCTTTTTCTGTTTGTTTGTCTTCTTTAATATTATTTTGAGGAAACTAACGGCAACAGAAACGCTTAGGCATCATAAAAACATTATTTGATATCGTTTGTGGAACTTATGAAAGGATTTACATAAACCCTCTGACAGTCAGAATCAAGTTTACACTAACATTTGAATGAATGAAAATATGTTTGAAACGATATCAATTAACGTTTTCACGATACATATGTCTAACTTTTAGCTTTGTGAGCAGAGGAAAATTACATATGGTTCTGTTACCAGTAATAACAGTAAACTTTCAATTATCAGTTATTTTCATGTAGTTAATTTATTGTTTCGATTGAACAAAATGATGGTGAATACCAATTGCGAAGAAATATCAGTCCAATTGCTTTTTTAGATAACAACGTGTGATGACGTGAAGTGCGTTATCTTTTGCAAAGAGCCATGCCAGGGACTCATGTCTGTTGAGATACATGCCAATTATCGTTTTATAAAACGAATACAAAAGACTTGCAAATTTAATTCTTCTTCGCATAGCGGAATCAGTTCTGTGTTTATTCTATTTTATTTCAATATCCGCTTGTTTGAGCTATAAAGTTGTAGGTTCTAATTTCGATGCAATGCAAAATGTGCAGTGAACATAATAAACTAATTAGAATATGGCGGACATTTCGGTCGACCTAGCAACCATTACTCTATAGCGAGGTTAATATGGGTTACCTTAGCTCTCGTATGTCACCAGAGTGCGTACATAGATTTTCTTGTTTAAAAAATGGTCAAAACCGAATTCGAATTTTATTGATGTCCCGCTTATATTATATACTTATATTATATTTAGTATTTGTAATGTATTCCAATAGCGTCCGTTCGTTTAGCACACTTCGGGTAAAGTATTTCGTAACAGTGGCGACTTATGGTGTTATAACACATTTAGTAAAACCTGCGTTGAAAGGAAATCAAAAAGGTCCTTGCTAGCGTCCACTTATTATAAAATATCCGTTTCATTCAAGTTTTGTAAATTGAGTAACGGTGACAAGCTTGAATTACGAACCTTTACGCCCTCTGCGTTTCGTGTCACTCGCTACCTAATATTTTGAAAAATATAAAAAACTTGTGCCAGGAGGAAAACTGTACACAGTAAAAAAAAGCTCGGTTGACATGTCGTTCTAATCGAAGATTAACATTCTCATCCATCTTAAGCAGCAACATCGCCATCGCCGTCGCTGGGGCCATTGCCGTCGCCAGGGCCATGTCCGTCGCCGTCGCTGTCCCCGTCGCTGTCGCCATCGCTGTCGCCATCGCCGTCGCCGTCACCGTCACAGCAAGGTATGATACTATATACTATACACTATATCCTATGTACTCAGGTATAGCACTTAACTGTCATGGCCTAGCTTGAAGCGCGTGCAGCATTGCCCATACCTAAAAATCATAAAACTGTGGAAAAAAAAAAAGGAATTATATGAAAAATAAGTCCCGTTTTCTTTCTCATTTATTTTTCTCCTTTATTATGATTGTGATTTTAATCTTTTTATGTCATCATCATTATTATTATAATACTTTTTGCTGCACGCCACCGCTATCAACATCTTTAGTCGTAAACGTTTTTTTTCTGTTTGCTGGTAATGCTCGACTCCATGAAAAACAGAGATGGTTTTCCTTTTTTTTCTTTTTTTGTCATGCCTTGACCTATTACTCTCTACTCGTCAACCATTACTCTATAGCGAGGTTAGTACGGGTTACCTTAGCTCTCGTATGTCACCAGAGTGCGTACATACATTTTCTTGTTTAAAAAATGGTCAATTCGAATTTTATTGATGTCCCGCTTACCAAAAAGATAAACATAGGAATGCTTAGCATGCAAGACTTATTATTTTGGCTGGGAGGGTTGTGATGGGACTCTGCGTTCTTAACGGTTTCAGTTTTGTAACAGAAAAAGAGCATAACTTTTAAAATAACGAAAATATCGCATTACTTCTCCTTAACAGAAAGGAAAAAAACCCTACTTTATCTGACCTCACACAGGTTTTTTGTGGTCCGTTGTCTCTACTGTATAAAAAAACTTTTGAGCGAAAATAAAATGCATCGGTACCACGCTTACCTTTGTGTCCTTCGCAGCTGTTGTTTGGTTATTTCAAATTGTTTTTTCTCTGATTTCGGTGGTGATGTACATAATACGACAAAGTAAAACCATTTCAACCGTGGGAAAACTGCATAAAAACATTTACGGAAATCTAAGTTTCCAAGAAGCTATCACTTGCCAAGAAGTGGAAAATGTGGTACTTGGAATTCTTACTTTCATCGTCACCATCAATCTATTGAAAATCATTCGCTTCAACGACTATGTTGCTCTATTCTCCGCAACATTGAAGATATCTGCACGATCTTTGTTATCCTTTAGCATCGTTTTATCCATTTTCTTTGTGGCATTTTTGCACTTTGGTGTCTTAGTGTTTGGCTCTGTATCTGAGCGCTACTCTTCGGTGCTAAAAGGAGCCTATTTCCAACTCGAGCTAACTCTTGGTCGAGTGAAAGCTAGACCAATTAATGAATTAGCACAGGCCGACACCATATACGCCAAAATATTCGCCTTCTTAATTCTCTTCACTCTCACTATTCTCTCTATGAACTTCTTTATTGGCATAATCAACGATGCTCTTTTGGATGCTAAGAACTTTGTGAGCGAAAGTGAGCTGTATGATCTTATCGATGAGAACCGTTGCTCGAGCTCAAAAGAAAGAAAAGAGTTTTTCGATGCAATCAGTAACAAGTTGAAACAGTCGAGAACCTCTAAAACGTCAGCAGAAGTGAAGGACAAAGAATCTGGAAACATTGGCCTTGACCCCACGAACAGTTCCAATCTTAACTTTGATTTAATAAGTCAAGCTATCATAGCTTGGAGGAAGAAAAGATCCAGAGAAACAATAGATAAACAACAATGCAGTACAAGGAGACAAGCATTGTTCGACAGGATAAGCAACATGTTAAAATCTCTGAAAGGTGAAAGCAATGACGACTGCAGCAAACGTAGAGAAAAAAAGAAAGTAAGATTTCAAGAGGATGTCGTCGAGTCTTCCCTCCGTAAATTACGTAAGAGAGAACATGACCTGTTACAGCGGCTGGAGAGTATTGTTTCAGGGTTCACAGCAGAAGACGAAGAATTCGATTATTTATTAATAACAGCAGAGGTTTATCTCTACTAAGTAGAGAGAGAGTAAAAAGAAAAGGTGAAAGGAAGTAAAACACTTCATCGAAATCATTGTAAAAAAACAGATCGTTAAGCATAAATCATCTCGAACACACAAAAAAATAGCAGGAATTCTTCAGCGTTTCGTAGCATTGTGGCAAATAACAAAAAGAGGATAAAAACTTAGAAAGTCATTTTTTTTTCTTATTTTTCATAGCTGATCTCAGAGGAAGAACCTATATACAATTTTTCTTTGTAGCCTATTGATTGTTTATAAATATGGCTCGTATTCAACGGCAAAAATATGAACTGCTTCATATCATTTAAAATAGAGTTACACGAAGGAAGTTAAGTATTGTTATTTTATATAATCCGTAAGTTATATAATTTCTACTGCAAAAAGATGGAACGATTTAGACGAATATGTTCGAGCCTCAATGACTTTAATGATTTTAAAATTGTATTTGAGACTATAGATCATTTTACTGTTTAGCAACAAGTAGCCTTTACTTATCTTATTTAATATATTTGATTGGGTTTCATTTATTGAAATATAATTATAAAAATTGAATTAGTGTTTTCCATGAATAAAACTTACCTATTTACTCACTTAGACAGTTTCTTTGTTCGGAGAAATTAGCACCACTATGCTACTCTAAAATTTCGAACGGAAGTAAAGTTATATATGTATGTATGTATGTATGTATGTAGGATTAAAATTCTGCTGGTATCGAGCGTATTGACTCACTCCATTGGTGAGGACTGATCCCCCAACTGTGCCCCCTTAAAACCATGGGATCCCCCCTCCCGCCAGACGATTGATAATGACTGATCTCAATAAAAAGCATTTTACACGTGCTCCAAAAATTAATTGATTTCATTGATGTCAACAAAGGGCTTAAATGCAGTGGGCCGCGACCATGGCCAAACCCTTCACGTCCGCGTGGTAGGCTAGATGGCGATTCCTGCATGAGTGATAGCTTCTCAGTCACATTTTTTCCAATTAGCTTTTGCAAGCACGTTCTTGGTTGTCAGGTACGCGTAAAACCAACTGAAACTTGTTCATTGGGGGGGTTTGCTGGTTAAATCGCGTAGTGATGTCTAAAACTGCCCCTTATAAATGTTGCTTACAAAGGGGACGCTGAAAGCAATGCTTTGTTCGACAAGCATCGGGGAAAGATGTATATAGCCATGCTTTAACATCAACAATCAAAGCGTTAGGATTATATTCAAATATATTTATTAAATAAGTATTCTATATTGTAATATTAGCGTATAATAAGTTTGCAGCAAGTACATGTTCAATGTTGTTCCAGTGCTGGTCATTTTGGCTGCATATTACTTCCAGTGCACAGAGTTTAATAATTCCACCGGTTCAAAACTTCGCCAAAAAAAGAGCCATAAAAGTTATATGAATCCTAAAGGGTATTTAAACTTTCCGTGGCTTTAAAAAGCAAGCTGGATGCTTGTTGACCTCCTGCGACATGGAAATTAATTAAAAAGGTCTGAATTACTATGGCAAACATTCATCAGAAGCCCCACATGTCCTTTCCGTTGAACACGTAAGAGGGCTTTGTCGGTACAACATTTTTTTGTAGCTAATACGAGCTTTCTCAACGCTGGAATAAAAATCAATTTAGGAAAGAGAAGGTAATTGAACTGGAACTTCGTAGTACTGATCGCAATGTTTACTGTACAAACAAAATCGTGTAAGGGTGTGCTATTTACCGAGAAAACGGCTTTTTATTATTTGAATTTACAGAAGTTTCGGGACGCAAAACGCGAAAACAGTAAAATTTTACGAGGAAGGGATCGCTAAGTATCATCAACGTTTTTTGTGTATAGCTTTTTTCATTGTTGTTGTTTTCACGAGGCCCGTATTTAAAAAGTGCAATATCAGTTTCCTCTACTTGCAATCCAAGTCGCCACTCTCAATGACCAGCGGTTGCATGCATACCAAAGAACATTTAAGTTAGAGGTTACACTAATGCCATTATGGTTTGAAGTGACCATCAATCTTCTCGACTGTAGCAACTTAATTCACCGCCGATTCTAAAGCCTGCTGAACATTTTGAAGTCTTTTCTAGACCTTTAGTCGATGCAAAATATAAAATATTCATTTGTGAGTCTTATCGACGGTTGGTGCGTAAATGGACACAAAAGTTGGGTGACGGGTACAAGGTACGTTGTCATAGTTAGGAGCCTGCTTTGCTTAGTATCTTGGCATCGGGGTTCTATATCGTGCCTGTGTGGCTAATAAATTAAAACACACAATAAGGAATTGTAGAAAAGAATTTTGGTAAGCAAAATTCGTAAAAAAATAAGATGTGATTGGAGAACATTCATCATCTTTAGCATGGGAAGGTAAGTATTTTTGGGAGATCACATGATTTTCAAGGGGAAAGGAGAATCAATCGTTGCCAACAGATTCAATGAGAGAACTTACCTTTGGGAAGCATTTCATCATCTTCGTCATTGTTCAGCATTCTCCTTTGTTTACGAAGCCTTTGTCTGCAACATCAATCATGACAGCAAAACTGCAAGTTAGGGGTGGATGCTGATCTCACATTTATGGACATAAAAACAGAGACTTCTGCTTTCCTGTCGTGCAAAGTAAACTTACAAGGATTCACACAGCTATAGATAGTATTGGTAACTATTTTTATATCTTTGTGTCAAGCTTTATTGGGCAAGATCAAAACGGAAAAAAATATACAAACATAAATAATTAAAACCCAAAAAGAGTGGGCATGAACGGGACACTCAGACCAATGCGGGGTGCCTACCGTAGGAAAATATATACGGAAAATTAAAATCCAGTCGTAATGAGAAGAAAAACTAATTGTAGAACAATTTAATTGTTCAAAATGAGAAAGTTGAGAACGATGGCAGAAGCCAAAGATGAAAATGGCAGCGAAGCTCTTTCTATTAGAATTTAATCCCTGAATATGCAAAATCTTTTGTCAGTGTGCTCACACATGGCGAGTAGAGAAATTTTTGTCAAGTTTCTACTACTTAACTTTTATTAGAAATGACTTATTGGAATGCTATTGAATGTTGCTCACTTTCTGAGCCAATAAGAAATCAAAAACAGAGGGCCGGTTATCAACACGAGGTGTAATCCAAACCGCTGTTTTACGCAAGCAGTGGGCTTGAGGTATCATTTAAAAGAGGGTTAGCTTTCAGCCCTCTTGACGCTGTTCACAAAAACATATGTTCAGAAAAAAGATTCAGCTATATTCAAGATAGTTTAGAACGCTGTTTTGTTAAAACAACGGCTAAACTTTGTTTTATTAACCCGCCAGAGACTTTAACTATAACTTTGATATAATCTTATCCTCTCAGCTGCTAAAATGCAAGTAAGCACACAGCGAACAAAACAGTTTCGAGACCTAAATCTCTAAATAAAGTATGAGTGCTTCACCCTCAGGTATAATATGTTATTTTTAAAGAAATGAAAGTCCCTTTCTCAACCTTAAGTTATTGTCGAACAGCCGGGCTTTGATATTAGAGAACGTTATCCAGAGAATGACGTTTTTTTCAGGCCTTTAGAGCACAGGGTTAATCATTCTCTCATCGTTTCACGCATATAAACACAGCCCATATTATCCCGCCGATTCCAGGCACGAAAACTTCACGATCATCCAGTCTGTTATGGTGACGTGCGCTTAGTTTCCCTAACTGACGACTTTGTATTATTTTAGCACCAAAGCCAAGCTAATGCAATTTATTTTGTATTAATTTTTTGCAAAATTGAGTTATAAGGTACAGACTTCGATTTGAGCCAGGAGAAGATGGTGCGAAATGAACGAAATCTCCATGATTACGGGTGAGGCAAAATTTTTCTGCAGGATGCTATAGCATTTTGGACCGACAATCATCCAGTTATAAAGTAATTGATATATATATAGATATGATTAGATATATTTACGAGGTTTTACTCGGTTAGTTCATTTCAGGTGTAGATTCTACTGCGCCAACTTCTACTCGGGATTGGGCCATAGTTTCTCTCCACACTGCTACTCATCTATTCTATCAAGTCAAATTCAGTACGTGGGCAAACCAAATAAGTAATCGATTCCTTGTTTTCCAGGCTAAGTTCTCAGGCTTTTTTAATTGTTATTCTTTTCAGTTAAGTCTTACTTTATCAGTTATCAAATGGCCTATATCGTTACTAAATCGGTTAGTTAGTTTTTTGTTTGTTTGTTTTTTTTGTTTTTTTTTGTTTGTTTGTTTGTTTGTTTTTTTTTTGTATTTTGTATGCTCTGAATCGCGCTTGATTAGGTCCATATCTCCAATATAAGGTTATTTCTCATAAAACTATCATCCGAGTTAATCGCCGTGACGCTTATTAATCGATCAATAGAAGTGCCGATTTGCCTCTTCCATGTTAAGGTCGTTATTGCAATGTTAGCGATAGTTCCTTCATTTGTATTTTGTTATCTTGGATACATTAGTTACGTTAGCTTTTATTGTCGTCTTGTATTTCAGTTCGAGCCGGCATACGGCTGACATCATACGATTCATTACTAAGTTTACATCACACGATTCATTTTAACTGATTTTGCGTGGAACATTGGTCAATTAAAAGCTGTTTATATCGTTGTCAAAAATTCTTGTCGAGTTCGTTTAACACTACTCACTATTCTACGCATGTGATTACTTGAATTTTGTGTGCCACATTCTATCCTCTTAATTTACAGGATCCTCTATTCATATAAGCTAACTTGACTTTTGCCCCTCCTGATGAGAGCTCAGCACTTGTCTGGCAAATCAATTTCCATTAAGTGAACAAGCGATATCACACGAGGGACGAGCGCAGCATCGACCAATGCATTTGCGCTACCTAAAAGCTGTGAAGTTCTTGGCCTTAGTTCCCCACCCAAGGTTTGATATCATTAGATATTCTGCTGTCCAACCTGCAGGTGGCAGATGAAGCGACCAGCTCTGTAGTTGCAGAATCTTCTGGTGAAGAAGCAACTGCGGATAAATCTGTGCAAGTAATTACGTTAGTTTCTAAGTGCCTTTCCTCTTTTCACATAACAGCCTAATTAAAAGTGACAACAGCAACATTGAGAACAAAAACAAAAGAAAGAGGCCGATTACAATCAGCCATCTTGGCCAAACAAGCTTCAATTGCTTGATAAAAGATTCATTACGTGGGCAATATATTTTTTAGGCAATTTTACCTATACGGGAATAATAATCATTTGTGTACGAGATATGTGCATCTTACCCACTCGGTTAGCCAGCCACATTTTTACTGAAATTTTGCTTTTATTTTAGCTTTTTGGAAAGGTTACTAGGTAGGTGTCATGGCACATTTAATAACCTCTTTTTTTTTGTTTTATTTTAGATAAAAAATCATTCCCAAGGGCAGTCACACTGATTCCCATTAAAAAAGTACAATCCTCTTGGAGAGGAAAACCGCAGGAAACTATCAATGAAACAACAGAAATATTTCCTGGATAATAAATCAATGCGTTTTATATTTTCTCAAGTGTTCTCGGTAGATGAATCTAAGGTCATATTTTCATTTTTTACCTGATTCTTTTCTAAATTAAGTAGGAGACAGCAAGACTTGAAAAACGGCTGGAGAGTATTTTCTCAAGGTTCTCAGAAGATGACGAAGAATTTAACTTTTTCCTTTTTAAATAGTTATTAAGCCGAGAGAAAACAAAAAAAAATATGTAAGGGGAAGTAAAACACTATATCAAAGATTAAGGTAAAAATCAGATAATTTAGTGTTATCAGTCGAGTTGATACCGCAAAGTGGCCACCGTAAAGAATTTCAAAGCTGAATTTTCGAGCGTTAGTCCATCGTCCTCCCTACTTAATTACTTTCTCTTTCTTTTTTTTCTGATAAACTAACACCACCATGCTACCCAGAAATTCTAACGAAAACAAATTAATGTATACAGTAGGTAGGTATTTTGGTGGTCTCGAGCGTAGACTCACTCTACCCATTCCCCTTCCGCCTTATGCCTGTCCCGTCCAAGTTTCCTTGAGATAGACACTACAAGAGACATTTTTTTTCATAGTCTGCGGAACAGCATTTAACAGGCTTTTTCCACAGGCTGGCAATTAAACTGCATCAAAGTACCATGCATCTCCAAAAACTGTGGTACATGATATACAAATGCTGAAAAAAGAGAGTAATATTTAATTTTATTTATTTTTATACCACAAAGTTTCACTTAAAAGCTTCCTACTTATATAATTACAATAACTTTCAGGCCTATTTATCTGCTAATAATAAATAGTAGATGCATTGTGAAATTATTATTTAATATCATCATCATTACTTCCATCCAGGAAGACACTCGTTAAGAGTTAAATTTTTGTTGACTTATTGTGAATGTAGGGGGTGATGTCATCATCATAGTACATTTCAAGAAAGAGCTTTCCCCACTCCCGCACATATGTTTTAAAGTGCTGAGGCTCAAGGTAGTCTGGATCATTTTCTTGAACCTGTAGCGCCCGCATCAAAGTCTGAAAACCCTACAGCAAGAAGCAAATACAGATAACAATTAAACATCATTATTAATTGTCTTTATCAAAAAGGGGTTGCCACTTGATAGAAAATAAAAAAGTTTTCTACCTTTTCTCCAAAGTTTTACTTGATAGTTGAGGAATTTTTCAATAAAACTGATGCCTGATATTTGCAGGTTAATTCCAACTTACTTTTCAAAGATTGTCTATGTCCTCTGCATCTTCGGTGCCAACAGCTTCCATAACGTTCTTAATATCGAGTTTCTCCAAAACCTTTTGCAATTCTTTCCCTGATTTTCAAAGAAAATTTAAATATTAATAAAATAGGATAATAGCAAAGATAAACTTTTCTCTTCTTGAGTGCATCATAGGTTATAAATGCATACTGAATTTGATTGTACAGCCATGCCAGCTATGTTATTAACAACTGTAGATATATTGTTAACTTATTTGAGTGCCATTTAGACTTGTCCACTTTGTTTCTGTTTTTTCTGCCAGTCTGTTGTACTCCTCATAAAACTTGAATTCCACCTGAATTCTCTCCATTTCTTTTGACAGAATGTCTGGGCAATCATTGTTGACAACAACCTCAACAACCTATATTGAGACAATAAATAACACAAAATTAATAAGTGTCTGTTTTCCCCTGGAAAAATTTCCAAAGGGTTTGCATGAGAAAATGGCATTTCTTTATATGATGCATGTGGGCTCACCTGATGGAATAGTAGCCCCATTATTCTTAAAAATAAATGTAATGTATCCACCACAACAAACTCAAAAGGGATGTTAAGAAGTGGAGGCATTGTGCAGCCTTTCCTTGCAGCTGTGGTGGAGCGCTGGCACAACCAAGTGCACTCTGATAGCTTTCTCTCAATTGGCCAGTCATCAACTGGAAAAAGATCACAATATATTTCTATTATTAACTTGCTTGCTGTTGGCTCTGTGATGATGAAGATGAATTTAAAATACAAAATTTCAAGAAGAAATTCTCTTTTCTTACTATCAAGGTTGTTAATTTGGTCCTTGCAGCAATAACACCAAATACAAAAGTAATTAGAGCTAGCTCCATTTAGTCCATAAACAAGGGCCAAAAACTTCCAGTCAGAGCAACAATACCTGTTAATAAACAAATTATTAAACATGAATTAACCAGTAAACACCTTTAAGGTCATTAGTTGTTAGCATCTGAGGATTTTGTTTACCACTCAACATCAAAGTGTTCCCCATCAATTTATGCTCCTTCTGCTTTTAACTCATCAATTTCTTGAAAGGTTTGTCCAAGGCAAGCTTTCAATTCTTCATAGTCTTCTTTACCTATGGAATGATATTAGACATGATCCACTGACTGTAACATATTTTGAGCACCAATACAAAATTAATAAGATTAGCAACTGTTTAATTTTTAATTAATAAAATGTCTCTTATCTTGGCATCTAAAAGTTTATCATTAGTATCGTTGCTCTTATTTGACAGGAATTTAGATGTTAAGAAATTAGAATCTTTGCACTTACCATTGTACAATGCCAGAGTATACTGGTATTCGTATGTTGCTTTATTTTCATACAGAATGTTAAAAACAGCCATTACTGTGCCAATCCTTTTGCTTGTCCTCCTCCCATCAGCTGCAAATCTAAGTTTCATTTTTGATCCATCTCTTTTTATGGCATCCTTAACTTCTGGTATTGCGATTAAATACTGTAAAACATCACGAACACTCCTCCGGGCACCATCAGCTTGTTTGGCCTGCATTTATTTAAAACCCAAAAAAATTAAGTATTCTGTAAATTATTATGCTTGCCACAGTCACATTACAAATTGAACACTACAAATCAAAATAAACTTAAATAGTACTGGTGCACAGTGTCACTTATGATATCCGGAAATCATCCTAGGTGGAATATGTGGCATGATTTTGCCAACAAGCATGGTGGGAAACTGTCAAAAACACTGCTAAATGTTCTCTAAAACTTAATTTACCTCCGGGATTTGAATTACTTTGATTTCCTTATTTTGGGAACTCCTTTCCTGTTTGATAGCGGACAGTGGCGGGACGTGACTTCGAACTTTCTCAAGGAGCGCCATCCTCAGTTCGTGGTATGCTTTGTCACTTACAAGTCCTTCATCCTTCGCTGCCAACATCCTTTGTACGACCTCGTGAGCGTAGCCCTCATCGTCATCGCCGTCATATTGGTAGTCAGATAGTGGGATCACTAATTCACGGCCGCTTACATCAAATTTAACCTGTGTGAAAAAAAGAAACAAAGATAATCTAAATAATTACGCTAGAAAATAAGAGACGTCTGCACGAGTAAAATCAGGTAAACTACGTTAATCAACAAAAGAATCGTAAAATAAATGATTCTCTGAGGTCGGCCAAAAGAAAAGAGATGCGGCGATGAGGTTTAAATGTTAGTAACATGTGCACAACAGCACAACTGCGACTACGTGTAATGTTTTCCCATTTTCAGCCATTTTCCTCTACTGCTTCATCTGAAAGCCCGCTGAAAGTTATCGATATACCGTGGGCACAAATCATACGTCACCCTTTCAGCTTGTACAGCGATGGCATCATATCAGCCTCTTCATGAAAACTATTAGCGGCAAAGCGAATCCCAAGCAAAGAAAAATTTATTTGAGGTTTAAATTGACAGTGTTTTTTTTTTTTTAAATCAGAAGTCGATAATTGCACTAAACTCTAGCAAAATAATAGTAACCAAACAGTTTTGTCTTCACCTTATATCGCCTGCATAAAAATTTTATTTCAGACGCTCTCACAAAGATTCTTTGCTGATAGCTTTAAAGGAATAAACAGCGACAGGTGAATATAATACTGAGTAATTATCAAGGAAATTTTGCAATGATACTTACCTCGATTGGTTTAATTTCTGCTGGTAAAATCTTTGCAGCATTTCGGAGGTAGTCTCCGATTTTTTTCCTCTTCAAAGACCGCGCAGCCCTGTCCACGTCCCAAGGTATCCAGTTACCTCGCCACCAAGCAGACTCGCCACCAGCGAACTTGCCACCAAGGAACTATCTCGCCACCAACGTACTCGCCACCAAGCAAAGTCTTCTCGCCACCAACCACCAATAAAGAGATTAGTCGAGGAGAGTAGGATGTTCGGCTGATAAGTTTGTTCGCTTGTCTGTACTCAAACTTTATAAACGTATGTTGTCGAAAGCACGTTCAAAACCGATAAGTTTGTTCACTTGTCTGTACTCAAACTTTATAAACGTATGTTGTCGATAGCACGTTCGAAACCGATAAGTTTGTTCGCTTGTCTGTACTCAAACTTTATAAACGTATGTTGTCGATAGCACGTTCGAAACCGATAAGTTTGTTCGCTTGTCTGTACTCAAACTTTATAAACTATGTTGTCGATAGCACGTTCAAAACTGAAGGTGTTGTGCAACAACATTTCGTTCGTATCTCGTAGTGTAAAGGCAAACTATTTCATCTAGATTTAATATTCAATAAAGTTTGTTGTTATTTTGCCGCGGGGAAACTGGGTAATATAATTCGACCGAATATTGAATAAGTTCCCTTGACAACATCACAGACGTCGAAATTTGCATACAGATAAGTAAACAAACTCGTGAGTCGATTCGTTCGAACTTATAACATCATAGACGTCGAAATTTTCATACAAATAAGCAAACAAACTCAGGAATCGATTGGTTCGAACTGTTAACTCTCCTTTGGAAACAACTTTAGTTGCCTTAGGAAAGCTTCAGTCCATCGACGCTTACAATTTCTCGCACCGACTTGACAATTTCTCGCATCTAGTTTTAATGCAACTGCTATCGAGTTTCATTTCATCACTTATTTCTTCCCATGAAGTTGCATTTTCTCTCAAGTAAGATTTTATTCCTCGCATCGAGTTTTGCAATTTCTCCTCGCTTACGTGCAAAAGACAAACACGATACGTTTCTATGTCAATGAGTTAGGAACGGAATACATCTAACACGTCGCTGAAGGTCATAATTTAAATACAGACAAGCGCAAAAACGTATCGGCCGATTTGAATTGTGCTCGTTCGAACATCTTTCTCTCCTCGACTACTTTATTCTAGTTTATCTCTTTATTGGTGGTTGGTGGCGAGAAGACTTCGCTTGGTGGCGAGTACGTTGGTGGCGAGATCGTTCCTTGGTGGCGAGTTCGTTCCTTGGTGGCGAGTTCGCTGGTGGCGAGTCTCCCTGGTGGCGAGGTAACCGGTTAACCCGTCCCAATAGCTTTTGCGGCTGATGTTAAATTTGACGGTGTTCTTTTTTTGGGAAACTTCGTGTCTTAGAAGCTGAAGTTCCTGGCGAAGCTGGAAAACTTCAGCTCTTCTCTCTACCAATTCCGTCGCCTGGCCATTAATGATCTTAACATGTTCCACTTTTTCAGCTCGTAGCTGCTCATTCTCAGCGCGCAGATGGCGAATACGCTGCTCGTACGCCTCAAGGAGTGGCAAATAGATGGCAGACTGCTCTACCTCAAAATGGCGCGGTTCGCGTCTGTAGAGGGCGCTTGGCGCCTTCTCTATCTTAAACTTGGAAAACATTTTCGACGATCTCTTTTGATGACACGAGCGAAATGACTGTTGTCAAGTGACAATAGCGAAATGATCGTTTGTCGAGTGCACGCGTCTCTATAACCGTTTACTTCATTAGCATGACAACAAGAAAACAATGGTGTCAACTGAGCGCGAATTTCAAAGACGCTTAACTGCGCTCAAAACATGTTATAGACTGGTAACTTAACCTTTGACGATTAAGAGACAAAGACGAGAAAACAATACACAACTGACCACGAAAGCGTTGCAAGTTATGAATACTCTAGTGGAACTAACGCACTGAAAGTGTTTCGTAACTAAATTCCCCAAGAACCCTGTTACAATTTCTTAGATTGACTAATTCAGTATAATCTGGAATATGTTTGTCAAAAGTTAAAATCGATTAGTTTGAATTGGGGGAGTAACTTTTGTAACAGCGCAACAATTGTGTTTTTAAATAACACCAAAGACACTTTTGTTTTCTTATACTTGTGAGAAATTCAATATTTTTATCATGAGAATTTAACCCTTCCAACAGTTTACTGGTATTTCGAACATAATTGATGGTAGCGGCAGTTCTTCGCTGCAGGTAGGCTACTTTCCCCGCAGCGGGTTTATCAGCTGGCCTATTGCAAAGCATTAAACGGACCAGAAAAAAGGCTTATTACTTCGCTTCACTTTTGAGTTTATTTTCCGATGACTAGGTTTTGCTTGTAGTTGTTTTGCGCTTTTCCATTTGTATTTAAAAATACAATCCCTAGCTCTTTAAGCGTGCTTCTGAACGTTTACATTCGCCGGTTCGCGCGAAGAAAAGAAATAACTTCTACAGCCCGCGCTTCATGTGACAAAGTTTCCCATCCGTACTCCCGGTAAAATTGTCTTTGTTCTGAGCGACATTTCCCTTACCCCACCCCGAGAATTGTGCTATTGTCAACATCTGGTAGTCAACGAATATTTTGAATCTCGCGCTCGGAAATTGGCAAAGCGTCGGTTCTTTCAAACCTGTGTTCTAGAAACAATAGAGCCTCTAAGCTGTAAACAATGAAATGCCCATAAAAGGAAGGTAATCCAGTGCCATTGTCTACCAAAAATTAAACACAAAGTTTGATATGACACCATGTTAACATCGTCTTAGACTAATTTTAATAGATGCCAAAAGGATTAAAAAAAATTCAGATCTACTGACATTGAATGAAATAAACACGCTTGTATGGCGAGTTAGCAGTAATCCCTGATTATCGATGTTGCTCTTATTTGCCATACGATATAAATGTTACAACAAGCAGCTTCATTTCTTTAATGGATAGATGGTAATTTCTTCCATCCGTGCAGTTGAACACCTGAGATACTCGATAAAGCTTCCGGCGAAAGCGAAAAATTGCTCTGCACCTGGTAGAAAAAGCCTTTAGCTTCATTGGTCCTTTTACAAAGAAAAAAAAACTAGTGGTGACTTATGTCAATGAGAAGCGATCGAGTATTATCATGTGTCATATCACCTCCTTCAAAAGAGTTTTAATACGTTACACGATCTGTCGCGTTGGCGTTCTTATTAAGTCAAGAACTATATAACATACACATACTGGCATCTGCTGAGGGCAACTTCTGTATATCATAAGCTTGAAGAATTGGGCGATAAAAGGGCTTTAATTTGGTAAAATGTTCATAGCCCTGTTTTTACACTCTACGCTGAGT